AGAAAGCAAATACTGTAGATTCCACTTATATGAGGAATCTAAGAAGTCAAATTCACAGAAACAGAAAGTAGACTGGTGATTACCAGGTGCTGGGCAATGGTTAGTTGGGGAGGGTAGTTTAATAGGTACAGAGTTTCAGATTTGCAGAAAAAGTTCTGGAAAACAGTATGAATATACTTAATTTATCACTGAACTGTACACTTAAACATGGCTAAGATGGTAAATTTTATGTTATGGGTTTCTACCAAAAAAATTACCTTTTATGTAATTAGTTTTATAAAAGATGGCTTTCCCTTCCAATGTGATCGCTTTTCCTTTTCTAGACATATACAAAATCTGCAGAAATCAACATCTTCAGTGGTTGACGGATTCCATGTGGAAGCAGTGCCAGTATATCAGTAATGAACTGGAACCATTTTCTCTCCTATGCAAATCCCTTTTGTCAAATGAATCACAATGGAAGGCTTTTCAAAGCAGTAAGGATGTATATTTTTTGATGAGCACATCTTTCTCTTCAGAAAATTCTTCATGGGATGAAAGTAAGAAAGTGTTCAGTGTTTTAGTCCAACTTAATTGTATGTATGTGTACATATATTATCAACTTATAAAGGTGGTCCATTACATTATAAAAAAATTGAAGGGAAGAACATAACTATGTTGTAAGCATGTCTCGTGTTATTTAATGTAATCCTCATGACAATCTTTGAAATATTATGAACATCATTGTTGATAAGAAATTCTGATGAAGAGTCACAACTTCAGTTTCATTACACCACACAGGTTTTATGAACAAGCCTACATATATAACAGATATGTGTTTTCTATATTGCTTTATATGACATACATGTTTTTTAAATTACCTAAGAAACAGAACATCCATAAATGACTTGCTATTTTTAACACCTCTCTTCCTTTTTGTTTTTCCTCTGAGCCCTCCTCCTGGCTTCCTTCCCTGCCACTTTGACCCAATTTGCCTAGTCAGGATGCAGCCTAATTTGCTTCCTTCCACATTTTTCTCCTTTCTTGCCACAACTATGTTAGGCAATACAGAAACATCCTTACACATATTTCCTTTGCTTTTATTTCTATGGGGTAGGTAGCCAGAAGTGGAATTGCTGGGTCAAGAGTGTATTATTTTTATGTTAGTAGTTATTTTTCTTAAAAGGCCATAGTTTGTATTTCCACCAGCAATATATAAGTTCTCTTTTCCAAGAGTACTATTGATTTTCTTTAACTTTTGTCAATCTGAAAAGTTTAAAGTACTTTAAATTTCCCTGACTACTACCAAGTTTAAGTATCTTCTCATATGTTTGATGACCATTTGAATTTAGCTATTCATATATGTTGCCCATTTTTCTACTAGACTGTTTATCTCTCCTTTGTCCATTTGTGAAAATGCTATTAATGTAATTAATGATTAATTTTTTGTTTTGTTAAAGATATTAACCTGTTCATTCAAATATTCATTCAAATATTTCTCAAAATATGTTATTTTCTGTTGGATTTGTTTATAGTATCTGTGCCATAGTTTAAATATCTGTGCAGTCCATTGTTGTTTTTTATTCTTTTATAGCTTTTTTATTCCAGATCTGATTAAGCAGTTCTTCTCCTCCCCTAGAGTTTCTTTCTAGGTCATGATGATTTATTTTGTTGCATTTGTCACTAATCTATCTTGGGTTCATTATTTATTATACTATGAAGAGTCAGTGTCTTTTATTTAAAGGAACTCTTTACTGATCTTTTCATAAAGTGAAGATTTATTTTGCAAAAACAACAAATTTTTCAATTTGTAACTAGATTTTCATGCATCATGGACTTTTTTTAAGATGAAGAAACCTATTTTTAGCTATATTCAAAAAAGCTATTTCTACAATCTAAGTTATATTTTAAGCTAAACACTGGGGAAATACCATAGAAATGTAAAGTCAGTGGAAATGAGAGCTGTATCTGGGATAGCTGGAAATGAAAATTAGACTTCCCACCTTGCAGGAGAGTGTGATCCAGTAAGGACTCCATGCAGGGTAAGAGGGGTCAGAATTTTAAAACATACGTATAATATTCAATTTTTCAAGAATTTGAGAATCCTGTTGCATTTCCATTTGATTCTCCTTTCCTGTATCTGTTACAGGTAGAATATGAAAAGAAATCTCCAGCCTCTAAGTTATTCATTTTTATTCATCAGAAAAATACCCCATCACATGAAGTGTTAGCTATGCCTTGAGCTTCTCATTCTTCCTGTCAGCTGCCCACCACCTTGGTACAGCTATTCATCAACCTCTTTACCAGGGCCAAGTTGGAACCTAAATCTGCTTAGTGTCTACCTCTTTCATGATATTAAGAATAGTGATGCCTCAAATCCTGTAGAAATATAGCTCACTTTAAAAGAAGTCAGCCACATTTTTTTTAAACTTCATAATTTTGTAACAAAAATTCTCATTGTTTTATCTTTTAGTGGTTCAAAGTATTTCCTTGTTAATCTCAATTTCTTTCTCTAAATATATCTAGCTGAGCTTTTGAATGAAAATGAAGAAATAGATAGCCCTATTAATTTTCCCTGGAAAAAACTCACTCCATTTCAAAGACTTATTTTGGTAAGATGTGCTAAGAGAAAATATTAATATTCTAAATATTTGAGCTTTATCAGTAATTTGAACCCTTCAAATTGAAATTTTTATTAGCAAAATATACGGATTTTACAAGCTAACATTTAGCAAACAGTTAGCATTAGAGGGAGCACTTACACTCCACCAAGACGTTTATTTTATGTGGGGGGTCCAGCTCAAGAAGCAGGCCTGGCATCTCTCTGCCCCTCTATTCACTCCTCCCTAAAGAACAATTTGAGGGATAAACTCAGAATATATGGCCCCTCTCCCCTGTCCATTTTGGGATCTGCCTGCCCCACAAAGCATACTTTCTGTTCTGCTTCTCAACCCGTAAACTGTACAGGAATAGACACTGGCCCTTTAGGGAGAAGCCAATGCTGCCAGCACCACTCGCCACAGGTAAGTCTGCCTAATCCCAGGCTCAGCATCAGGAAGCACACACACCCAGACCACATCCACCAGGTGCAATTTATCATTAAACAAATGGAATCAAACCTACAGAGATCTTTCTTACAAGACATCAAAGTCTTCAAGTAAAGTTACTAAAATATCATAACTATGTTAAAAATTCTGTGTACACGTAGACCTTAAAATGAGTCTTCTATTTTTTACTGTGGCACAATACACATACATTGTTTCATTTAATCTCTTAATAATGCCTTTTAAATGCCTTAATTTCAGATAAAATTCAGTGGCGTTAAGCACATTCACAATGTCATGCAGCCATGAGCACCATCCATTTCCAGAACTTTTTCATCATCCCGAAGAGAAACCCTGCACCTATTAAACAATAAATCCCCACTCCTTCTCCCACTAGACTCTGGCAACCACTGTTCTACTTTCTGTCTCTCTGTTTTGCCTTTTCTAGGTACCTCCCAAAAGTGGAATCATGCAATATTTATCATTTGTGTCTGGTTCACTTCACTTACCATAATGTTTTCAAAGTTCACCCACCCATGCAGGTGTCAAAATTTCCTTACTTTTTAAGGCTAAATAATATTCCACTCTGTGTGCAGACCATGATTTGTTCATCCTTCCCTCTGACTGTGGATGCCTGGTCGGCTCCCACCTTCTGGCTGATGCCAACATGCACACACAGCGTGGCTTTTAGGGTTTTTTGTTTGGGTTTGTTTTGTTCTTCTTTTGAGCCAAAATTTGCAAATTGAGAGATTTTACATAAAAATTCAGATTTCCATCTTTATTGAAAAATTATAAGAGTGGGAAAATACCAACCTCATAATCTTCAGGAGCAATAGCCAGAGCTGAGTAGCATCTGCTCCCCTGGACCAATACACCACAGTTCACTGCAATGTTCATTACTTACACAGGAGAATTATTCTTCTTCTATCTAACCCACTTCTCTAATTTATGATACTCACCTGGCAATCGTAGACAAATTGATACCCCTCTGCTACATGTGGATTATTGACATAGTCAAGACAGGAATATATATCTGAGCTGAATTAACTCACAAAATGCAAGATACAATCTGTATAGTACAACTCCCTTTGTGGACAAAAGAGGAGTAGATGGACAGAGGCTCGGGTGTGCACAGAAAAGATGGATAAGGAGCCCCAGGAAACAGCAGTAGTATCTAGGAAGCAGTACCTTCATTTTTCAATTTCTACCTTTTTGTATTTGAATTTTATGTAGCAAGTATGTATTACCTTAACAACAAAATTAGCTAGTTTTAAAGCCTGTGCTACTTTACCTTCCTCCAAGATGATTTTAGTTTATGAACCTGAAACTTTATGAGTATAATGACCCTATTTTCCAAACCCACAGTCAGAAGACATATGATAAAACACTGAGTGTAAATATAGAGAAACTGAGTTCAATTATTTTAAACTATAGAATCAGAAACTGAGATAGCCACATAAGAGATTAAGTGAGAATGTATTAGAGAGAAGGCTTAACCCGGAGAAGGGTAACACTGCGAGTCCCATGTGGGCCAGTGCTTGTCTAGAGTATTTGCCCCTCTCCATTGCTGCAGCCCTTAGTACAGGGAAGAGGGGAAGTAACATGAAGGATGTGATTATTAGGGGACTTTCACTTACAAAAAAGCAAGTAAAACTGAATAAAACAGAACTGCATTTCTCCTGTCTTCCCTTTCTCTTGAACCCTCAAGAAAAGTTCTTTGGATAAAAAATATTACAACAGTGGAGAAATTCAATAAAGTAAAGGGGAAGCTATCAGCGTGATGAGACAAAGGATCACAGGGTCACATTTGGGAACACAGATGCTCAGCGGTGGTGGCTCAAGGACCACACTACATCATTTTCTTCACTTGGCTGAGCCTAACACTTGCACTAATTGGACATACTGGGCAGGCTCCTCTTTTAGACCCCACATTATTTGTATGCTGATCATTTTCATTTTTAAAAAATACACATTTAATTAAAATAAAAATTTAAGATTAATTTTTCCAAAGGGTAACAGAAAAGAGAATTCAACATAATGATTAAATGTGTTATGTTTAATATGTGGAATTGCCAATATTTGACAGTTTTTGACCTGTAAAATAGGCAAGTTCCTATGGTTCCACCTACGACATTCACACAGACCCACACACACATAGTGTCAGCTTGACCTTAAATGATGCAGCCCCTTTGCCTTAAATGATGGTTGCTGAAAATACTCAGGACAAAAGTATAATCATTTTGCAAAGAAATAGCAAACAAGTGATTTGTAGAAAACAATTTTCATGGTAAAGTTCTTTCCCAAGATCTGCAATGACTTCTTCCACAAGGCCCTGCAAATCTACTCAATACATGTACACTCTTTCCAAACTCTTCTACTCCCTCTAGAGTTCTTGCTAGATATGTACTCAACACACAAAAACCACAGACATTGTGCTGTTAATTTTCACATTTTTAATGGAAGGATTGGTACTCTTCCAGTTATGCTGTCCTGGATTTTCAGCTCCCTAACACCACAGGGCTTTCTTGCTCTAGACTTGTACAGCAGAGCAGGCAGAAACCCAGGGGAAAGTATCTTCTGACAGCTCAGATTTTTACATCCAAAGTGAAATCTCAGTCAGAGTATGAGAGAGAGAGAGATGCACAAGATGGCCCTGGCATCTGGGAAGGGCCATCTGAGGGTCAAGGGCAGTGGTAGTACTTTCCACACACACACACTGGCTTCCTCCCACCAAACCTTCCCAGTACAAGGGAAACCATAAAAGTCTAACCACCTAAGTAGTGAATGCTTCTCAGTTTTGTTTCATTTTAGCTTAGGGAACATTCCTGTGGTGGTTTTTAGAGTTATCTCTCTTCTATGTTTTCTTTTTTTAGATAAAACTTCTCAGGCATGAACATTTAAAGAATTCAGTAAGAAAGTTTATAACTGAAAAAATGGGAAGTGAATATATTTCCAGAACTGGACTTAATTTGAAAGAATCATATATAGAATCCAGTGCCAGAACCCCACCAGTTCTTATTCACCCCCATGGTAAGCCGTGTGAGGGCAGCCATGGTGGCAGCATGATGCTCATCTCTTGTAGGTCTGTGTTCAAAATATTTTATTTAAGTATGTTGGGAAAGGAACTGATTGAAACTTTATACTAAGAACAAATCTTTCTCAAGTGTAAAAGAACAAAAAGGACTAAGATTTCCCAGACTAACAAATATGGAAACATTTATCAGTGCTAATTTCTATGCAGATATACCTAACAAACACATATTATTGATCTAGAAGTTGGAATTGCCCTTGCATTTATTAACTGTTTTAATTAACATTGACTCATGAAAAAATATATATGTTATTAAGTAAGCTATCAGAAATTGGCCCTGCTGATCCAACCCTTGTATTCCTCAAAACTCCAAATGCTTTTTTTTTTCTTTTGCTTGTCTCTGCCCTGCAGACGCCCAGCAAAATGTTTTCTTCACTTATCTTCATCATCTCCAAATCAAACATGTCTTTAGAATTTACCATTCTCGAATTTTGATGCTGTTGGGCCAAAGCCTAGTTCAGAGTGCCTCCATGTGAAAGCTTTCTCATCTAGAACTTTTCCATGTAAAACAGCTGACTATATAATAATAGGTGCTGTTCATTCCTTGAAGGCTTAGCCTAAGATGGCAGCTAGGGCGCTGGCCATCACAACCATGTTCTAAACAACAGAATGGAAGAAAGGAGGTATTACACAACATTCTAATAAACTTTGCTGCCACAGCCTACTTACAAACCCCAGGTGCCCAAGCCTAGCTGCAAGAGACTCAAACGGGTTCACGGAGCTGAGGAACAGAGGAAGAAGATAAAAACACATGCTGGGGTAGATAATCGGCAGCTGCTGCTGTAGGTAGATAAGACCCCACATGTTAAAATCCTAGGTCACCTACTTAGTAAGTGGCGGAGACAACATTTGAACTCTGGGTTCTAATTTCAAAGACTATTGTTTTTCCACTATGTCTAAATCTTCTCCCACCACCACTCAATACATGCTAGGTTTTTAAAGAGGGAATTAAAGGCGTTTACAGTTATGTGTACCTCTCCACGTTGTTCCACAGGGGTTGTCCTCACCAGGACTGTCCTGAAATTTGCACAAGAGTTAAAAGGAACTACACGTCATATCCACGTGATTTCTCTGAGTTGTGGCCAGGCAGCTAAAGCAGAAGACCAAGGCCCTGGCCAACACTGCGCGGTAGGTCTTCCTCCAGAACTACCATCTCGCAGTGTCCTTTATGCCCATGCTCTGTGCTATCAGAGAATCGTAAGAGCTTTATGTGTTTGTAGGGGATGGGATTAATTACATAAACACTGAAGTGTAGTTGGACACTGCAACGTTACCAGGCCTAAACAGGGATAAGAGTGGGTGCTGGCCACTCGGAGGGGACTGAGGCGCTCTTGCAGGTTCTCGTTTCTCCAAGAACTTGAAACTGCACTGAGAACATTTCAGTTTTGTAGGGGAAAAATGTCCTCTCAAGTTTTTACTCTCCTCCTCAAGCTCTCGTCCTCAGTAGGTATACTCGCCTACGTGCACACTCACACAGATATACACCTCGGTGGCAGTTTTTTATTCCAAACAGCAGAATATAATACCTCATCCCCATACTTCCAGGGATGATTTATTCTACGAACTATTTTTAGTACTTGTTCTGACTTTCCCTGGCTCAGCACACTATCTAGGCTCTATCTCCCAAGGCACTTGCCCACTCAGGCAGACGTCTGCACAGGTCCAGCCCTCTTGTTTGCAGGGGAAGTACAGTGACCCTGATCAACACAGGTTTGTACAGCACGGGTCCACTTGCACACGGATTTTTTTCAATAAATATATTGGAAAAAATTTTGGAGATTTGCAACAATTTAGAAAAGCATTTCTTTTCTCTAGCTTACTTTATAGTAAGCATACAGTATATAGTATAACAACATACACAATATGTCCTAGTCAATCATTTGTTATTGGTAAGGCTTCCTGTCAGCAGTAGGCTATTAGTAGTTAAGTTTTGGGGGAGTCAAAAATACTATGTGATTTTTGACTGTGCAGAGGGCCAGCACCCCTAGCCACCACCCCCTCCACATTGTTCAAGGGCCAAATTCACTGTAAGTTTGAATGAATAATTAGCAATGTTTTGAATTAGTAAAGTCTTAACCAGTTACGTTCTATAGTTTTTTTTCTCTAGCTTTGCACTTCTGTCTGCTTTACTGTGCATGGCCAATGTGATACTGTAAAAGTGTGTTTAAAATAAGGGTATCCTCATTTACCCCAAGAATGCAGCACTCCAGTTTGAAAAAGACAGATGCACCCCTATGTTTATCGCTGCACTATTTGCAATAGCCAAGATATGGAAGCAACCTAAATGTCCATTAGATGAATGGATTAAGAAGATGTAGCACATATACACAATGGAATATTACTCAGCTATAAGAAAAAAAACAAATCCTACCATTCGCAACAACATGGATGGAGCTAGAGGGTGTTATGCTCAGTGAAATAAGCAGGCAGAGAAAGACAAGTACCAAATGATTTCACTCATATGTGGAGTATAAGAACAAAAGAAAACTGAGGGAACAAAACAGCAGCAGAATTACAGAACCCAAGAATGGACTAATAGTTACCAAAGGGAAAGGGACTGGGGAGGACGGGTGGGAAGGGAGGGATAAGGTGGGAAAAAAAGGGGGCATTACGATTAGCATGTATAGTGTGGGGGGGCATGGGGAGGGCTGTGCAACACAGAGAAGACAAGTAGTGATTTTACAGCATCTTACTATGTTGATGGACAGTGACTGTGAATGGGGATGTGGGGGGTACTTGGTGAAGGGGGGAGCCTAGTAAACATAATGTTCTTCATGTAATTGTAGATTAATGATACCAAAATAAAATTCAAATAAAAAATAAAAAAATAAAAATAAAGGTCTCCTCATCTTCATGCTGCTTGTTATGAGCATCCTCAAAACTATAAAGCCAAAATGCAAATGCTTTACTTAAATTTCTAAAAACATTGCTAATATAATTCTTTCTATTCTCAGACCTATTCTTTTAGCAGTTTAGAAACTACGTAGTAATTTCCCTTTTTCACATTTATTTCACACGTAAGAGAGTCAGAAGATGAAGATAGCTTAGTTATATGATTGCAATAGCTGTAAACTTTGATAGAAGACACAGTAACTTCTACCAGGCCCTTCAGTCATTATTCATTCAAAAACTATTTATCAGGCACCTACTGTTTGCCAGGAACCATTCTAGAGACTAAGGACACACAAAGATCAGACAGACATTGTACCAGCCTTCAAAGAGTGTATTAACACAAGGAGAAACAAAAGAACGTCAAATATCAATATATCATTTAAAAACTTAAGGAAATGTTTTTCAGAAAGTGATTTCAAAGGCTTAATGAAAGTCAGTAATGATACATTAAACACACCCCCATATAATCAGAGTATAACAGAGAGAAACTCCCACTTTATCAAACCAAGCCTTTAAACATTAAGACCATCACCCTGACAGCAAATAGTAGAAGAGGAAAATGTGACAAAAAATTTCTTAAACTTAGGATTAAAGAAATATGTTCACAATATATTGCTAAGAAGAAAAATAGACTATGAACAGTATATACAGTACAATATTTTTATTTTACAAATGAGAGAGGAGAAAAGCAAGCAATACAGAGGGAGAGAAAAAAGGAGAAAAGTATGCTTATACTCAGTCAGTGGGATTTTGGATTATTTTTGCTTTTCTGTTTAATTTTGTTTGCTTGCTTGCTTCATTGCTTTTTGTAATTTTAAAAAAAATATTCCAAACTTGCAAAAAAGTTGCAAGAGTATAAAAATTCCCATATACCTTTACCTTTATTTCCCATTTTTTAACATGGCCTCTTCTTTCATATGTACATGCAACATGGGGGCATGTGATATTTCCTCAATCACTGTGACCCCTAAATACTTCCATGTGTTTATTGATTATCTAATCAACAGAACTTAATCATATCTAGCCTATTGTCCCAAGAATATCTTTCATTGCAAAAAAGAAAAGAAAGTCCTGGTCTGGGTTCCACTTTGAGATTCCTCCTTATAGTCAGCTGCCACATCTCTTAAACCTTCCTTTTTCTAGAATTTTGCCTTGTCTTCCTTCATCTTTCATAACTTTGACATTTCTAAAAGTATAAGCCAGTTATTTTGTCAAGTGTCCATCAATTTGGGCTTGTCTCCCAGTTCCCCCTGGTTACACTGGGGTCATGCAGCATTGTAGGAAACCACAGAAGTGATGTTGTGTCCTTCCTGGTGCATGATATCAAGAGGCACGCGGGTCAGTCTGTTTCATTACTACTGATTTGATCATTCAATTAAAGTGGTATCTGCCATCTGTAGGGATCTTCAGACCATGTATTCATCCCAAGTTTTTCATAGACTAGTTTTAATATCCACTGACAATTTTTTACTGAATAATAACTACTTTACTTGCCAAATGGTGGCTTTCTAACTCCACAATTTCTTCTAAATTTATTAAGTGATGTTCCACCATAGTAAAATGTTTTCCTTCTCTCTCATTGATTTATTCATTTGCTTATTTATATCAGCATGCACTCATAAAGTCCTATTTCATTCAATGGATTATAATCTGTTACTTTCATCATTTATTTTGATGCTCAGTTGTCCCAGATTTGACCAATGGGACTCTTCATTTTGTTCTTAATGTGTAACTGTTTTCCCAGGTTTTTGCAATGACTATATATCACTTTTGTACTTCAGGGCAGGAAAACTGCCTTTTTAAATGGGCATTAATGGGCCTTATGCAAATTCTTGTGTGATATGAAAGTTCTTCTGGTAGTCTAATAAGATCTTGATTACTAAAATGATTTCTAAGGTCACTTCAAACATTGAAATACTATGATTCGTAGAACATGTTGATTTACTTTAAACTTTTCATATTAAAATACTTTTTTATTTTACAGATTGAACAGTCCACATGTGACAGTAGACCCTGACTTTAGGCTATGGTTAAGCTCAAAATCAGATAATTCTTTCCCAATTCCTATTCTCCAAAAGAGTTTAAAGGTAAGGATGAAGTATAACAGATTAAATACCGACTGAGTAACATTGTTTGAATGTAAATCATCTTAAATCCATTCTAAAATAAAAGTGTGTGAACTCAAGTATGCTAAATTCTGCTCTGTGCTCAGCCCTATACTACAGACCAGGAAGGATGCTAAAATAGTAGACAGGGCCCCTGCTGTATGGTTCACATCTTGGATGTTTTCTCAAACAAGGACGCTTAGGCTTCCAAATGTTACCGCCAAGAATACACAATTCCTGTTCTTTTCTGACCTTTGTTTCTCTAGCTTTTTCATGTCTCTGCTCCCCCTAACCATTTCACAGTTTATTAATTCTCTGGAAGGGTCTGACAGCAAGCAGTTGAAAAACTGAAGAGTCCTAATTAAGGTTACCTGTGACTTCTTCTCATCCACCATTGAGTCCGACTTGGTCAGTTCTGCTAACAAGCGGCCAGTTGATCAAAAGATGGAGTACTGACAGCAAGAACCAGCGAGGGGTGTAGGCAGGTGCTGCGCCCAGACATGGACACACGCACACACCAGCTTCCACAGAGAGGAAACTGGGTGGAGGACCCTTTCCCAATCAAGTCCCAAGCCAGCCGGAGAAACAAATCAAAACACCACCTCCCTTCTCCCCGCCTGCTCCCAGCTCCTCCATCCTCCAGCTATCAGCCCTGGCCACTTAGCGATGTGGCTCCTGCAGAAACAGAATGGATGGGAGAAATGCACAGCCCTTACTCTAAAGCAGTCCATTCCTCCCATGATTGGGGATTATGCTCAAGCAGCCTTTTATCTTTGGCCAGGAGTGGGGGATTTGGGAGGTAGAGGTGCTGGAGACTGGGGAGTGAGGGGTAGCAGGGAGGGACAGAGACAGAGCTTCCAGGAATATTTCAACTTAAGTAGGCCCATTGCACTAATTCCACTTAAAGTCCCCATCAGTGTAAGCATTTTTCATATGGTTGTAATTAGTACACATATGAACCTTTATGGGATTTTTTGAATGCCCTTATCTCTACAGTTAGATAATAATTTCCTTAATAGATAACTAAGAGCACCTACAAATAATTAAGGAAAACACTAACACCCCATAAAAAATGGGCAAAGGACACAAAATGTTGATAAACATATGACAAAATAAAACCCAGCCTCTAGATATCAGAGAAATGCAAATCAAACAATGAGATGTTTTGCTAGCCCATCAAAGTGGCAAAAGTTAGCATGTTTACGCTTTGATTAGTGATGCTAAGAGACCATGGAATAACCACTCTCACTTACTGACACGGTGATCCCAGAAGCTATCAATCCACAAAGGAAAGTGATTTTTGCAATATATATAAAGAGTCTTTTAGAGACACACTTCTAGGAAAAGGCCATTAAATTATGGCATATTTATAGAAGGAAATAGTATGCTGCCACTAAAAATGAAATTCTAAAAGGTATTTAATGATTTGAGAACATGAAATGACTTTGGTAAAGAGCAAAATTCATAAGAGGACATATGACATGATATAAATTTTATTAAAAAGAAATTATATAGATGCAAATAACCCAACGACATCTGTAGTCATCTCTAGGTGGCATGTTATCAGTGATTTTTAAATATTTTTAAAATATTTTATATTGTTACATATTATAATAAATACAGGTGTTAATAATTTGTTTTATATATTTTATATTTTCTTTCCTTTATTTGTACATGTCTTTCAAGCATGCTTAAATTGTATGATAAGAAAGATATTTTAACAGTGTAGGTCCAAGCGCTTCAAGAACCTGCAAACCAGTGGAGGCATGAGAGATGTCACTGGTGCTCCCTGCAGACTGTACCAGGTGGGAAGGCTTCCTCAAGGAGGAGCCATTGGAAGACTTGGAAGTTGACTAGCAAACAGGCCACTAGAGTAGAACACTAAAGTTAAGTTAAAATTGGCAACAATGCTTTTTTACGCTCAAGAAAATATGAGATACTATGAAAACTTGATTTTGCCATATTGTCAAAATATTGACCATTGTTGAAGGTAAGTGATGGGTACATAGAATTAATTATATGACTCTCTCTGCTTTGGTATATTTTAGGAAAATGTTTAGTAAAATGTAACTCCCCCAAAAAAAATCTGTTCAGATTTCAAGTGGAATCAACCATCCAAGTAAATCACTTCCTTACAAATATAGCCAAACATAGTCATCCCACTTTTTTTCTTAAACCAGAAGGAAAAAGAAGGGCCAGGAAAACCACACACATGGCATGAATCTGCTTTTGAAATTTAACAAAATACATTTTCATTCCAATGTGAGTAACTTCCTTCCCCAAGGCAGTGTTGACTGCACACACACATTCTGCCTCTGTCTCTCTCGGCTCTCCTCCTCCTTCCCTTTTTTCTATACTGTGCCTTAGGGGGCATCAGCTATTTGCTTTTAGAGACAAGAGCAGTTCTCAAAAGGATTGGTTACAACAGTGCTTGGCGATTATCTTCTCATTTTGCAGTCAGGGCTTTCTGAGCAAAGACTGCATTACGGGATATTTGAAAGGAAAACACGCCTCGGAAGGTAGAGAATATCTCCTCTACCCTGCTCTTCTCAGAGCCACTTGCTCCCATTCTGACAGCAGGAAAGCTCAGAGCCACTTGCTTACACTCCAAGGTTGTGTAAACCTTGAGACCCTCTCTTTCCCCAGGAAGATGTGTTTACATTTGGAGCAAAAGCCTCCCTCTCTGTGAGTCTGGACGGAGGGAGTGCTGGTGCACCAGTCGCTTTCTGTAAGCTCCAAGCTCAACACGCAGTGTCCCTCCTGTGGTGCGAACCCCACCACCCACAGGGGCCGTGGGTCCCATGTCACCTGCCCCATGGGGAGTCAGAACCTGGGGGACTACACTAGCTGCTCTGTGGACAAACAGCCAGTCTGACCCCTGATCTATATGAAGCCACACAGTTAGTATGTGTATCACATACACGTGCATGCACACATACATGTATATGTAAGCTGTGCAAGTAAGGGGACATTTCAGACCCTTCACAGTTCCAGGCTTAAGGAACATCTTCTCCAAGAATCCCTCCTGCTTCTCTCCCCACTTGGCCTGTCCCTCCTTGCTCCAATTATCCTAGGGAGGAAGTCAACCAAGAAAAACAACTTAGTATCACACCAGATTACTTTTCTCCTTTTTATCACCAGTGACAAACAGATGCCTCTGTTGGTTCCATAGGTTCTCTGTTTCCTATGATTTGGCAGCCCAGCTTCTGTTACGGCCTCTTAGCTGCCTTCCAGAGTTCAGACTAGAGCAACTAGGTTGGTTCTGCCTCTGGAACCTACCACTAGACCCACCGACTAGCCCCTCTGTCCCTTCTATGTCCATCAAACCTCCCAAACCCTGTGCTTCCTGAGCTCTGTATTTGGAGCAAACAGGAGTGTTCTAATGACAATATTATACCTTCTCATTTTAAGATATGAATTGGAACAATAGGAGATCTGGTACAATCCTTTTACGGAAATTTTCAAATGGGAAAAAAGAAGTAACACAAGATTTCTGATTTGCCTCTGAATCTCAACAACAGTCACATGCTTCTGTGCCCCACCTGCCCTCACATGTTTCTCCTCACATCTGTTTTAAAGATCGCAGTGGAAACTCCCGAGGGATTGAAAAGCAATCTGCTTCAGACACTTGGATGTAGTGGGAGTGGAGAGGTGGCAGGAGAGACATTTGAAAACCATGACTGTGGGCCGTGGTGGAAAAAACTGCTCTTCAGCTTATGTTTTTTCAATGAAAATAAAAGGAAAAAATTATCAAATATTGCTTATGAAGTTAGTTCTTCAGACTTGGAGGTAAGTGTGAGGTCAAAATAAACAATAGCAACTAACCATATGATACAAACAGCCTCCTGTCTACACAAATACTAAGTGTTTTTCATGGCGGTAAGAAAATGAACTCTGTACCTGGGCGATAAGGTCTAATGTTTCAAAGCATGGACTTTGAAGCCAGCTTTTCCAGAATCTAGTTACAGTTCTGCCACTTAGATCTGAACAAGTATTTAATCTATTGGACAAGCTAATTAACCTCTCTAGTCTCCATTTCCTTGACCAAACAAAGCAGGGTGTGGGAGGGGAGGGTTAATGTCAGAACCAAGTCCAAGAGCCATAGTACAAGGCACACTGGTTAGTGCACTTAGAATAGTGCCTTCACACATACATCACTGTGAATGTGTTTGCTGTTTATACATGTTCACGTAAAGCAAGAAAGATTATGCAGGGGGAGGATGCTTGGCTTGATAGTCTTTTACTCTTCTCTACAAACAACCTTCTATTTGAGCTAATATTGCAGTCCTTTCTTTGTCGCCAAAGTGAACGCATGGTGGCAGCTACTTAAGTCTCTCCCAGGTCAGTTTTCTTGTGTCGTGCTCTCAGTGCAGGACGTTGCCTCGATTACCTGTTCTCAGATGTGTGAGGACAGAGGCCAGAGACACTTTCTGAAGAGAGTTGGTTCTGCCTCTGGAACCTACCACTAGACCCACCGACTAGCCCCTCTGTCCCTTCTATGTCCACATTAACTTTGCAGTTTTCCAGGAGGCTGAGCTTGCTGGGAGCTCACTGCCTGTAGAGGGCATGCTTCTGCCAGCAGCCAGAGCAAAATGCTGAACAGCTGCATGCTGGGAACTTGTCGAGGAGTATGAGCAGAGCATGGTTCCAGCCAAAGCCTGTGCAAAGCTCAGGCAAAAGGCAAGCACTGTATTGGGGGTGATGCTTGTACCCTGTACTAGATTCATAATTAGTATGCCTTTTATATGAAGACTTCTTGTAAATTAATAAGAGAAAGTAAAATATCCCAATAGACAAAGGACATGGATAGGCAATTCACAATATGAATACAAACAGGCAATAAGATTATGAAAATGTGTTCAATTTCATGAATAGTTGTGATGTTAATCTTATGTGTTGAATTGACTGGGCCACAAGACCCCCAGATATTTGGTCAAACATTATTCTGAGTATGTCTACAAGAGTGTTTCTGGATGAGATTCATATTTAAATCAGTAGACAGAGTTAAGCAGATTGCTTTCCTTAATGTGGGTGAGCCTCATCTAATCAGTTGAAGGCCTGAATAGAACAAAAGGGGGAAACCTCCTTCCCAACTGCCTTCAAGCTGGGACATTGGTATTTTCCTGCCTTTGGACTTGAAACAGGCTCTTCCTGGGTCCTGAGCCTCCAAGCTTCAGAAAGAAACTATGCCGTTGGCTCTCCTGCGTCTCCCACTGTCAACAGCAGATCTTGAGATTTGCCAATGTCCATAACTATGTGAGCCAATGTTCTTATTATAAACCTCTTTCTTTGTGTGTATACATCATATCTGTTCTGTTACTCTGGATAACCCTGACTAATACAGTAATCAAGGAAGTGCTCATCAAAACCACAGTGAGATACCACCTTTCAGTACCACAGTGGTTAAAACAAGCAAACAAAACTGCAGAGAAACAGGCACCACCCTCCACAGCTGTTGGGAATTAAATTGTCCCTAACTTTCTGAAAGGAAACTTGGTAATACATCTGAAAAGCCTTTAAAGAATTCCTGTTATTATTGACATAGGAAGAGATAGTGACATTTATAGGGTTGATGAATAAAATGGGATTGTAACAGAACATGTATAGTATATATATAGCACATATATATTTATTTATACTCATTTTAATAGATACTAAACCACCTGCAAAAGAAATGAATGGCAGGATTATGGGTGGCCAGTTGTTAGCAAGATTCCTTGTCATGCAAAGAGCTTGGGTGAATAGCAGTTTCAGGTGATGCAGGCCAGAATGCTCATGGTGGGTGCTGCTCTCCTGGCATTTTGTGGGGCATGAGCAAGCTCTCTCAACCAGAAGCAGCTGGTCACATCACGGCACCGTTCTCCAGAAGAGCTACTCTTTCCCCTCAGTTCTACAATTCTCTGTGCAAATGTCTCCAGGCTTGTCGATGGGAGAGAAACAGACCACCTACATGCCAGGCTGTCTGAGTTTGGGTGCCTGGAGTGCAGGGAGCTGTCTAGGTAGCACCTGGGAACTTTGGGGAAGTTGGGTGTATGCACAGCCCCTCACTAAGGAAGTGGGGATGTCCCATTACATGGGAAGTGGGTTTGGATGCACCTTCCCCCATGTGGGGGTGCCAGCCCAGTGAGCTCCGTGTCAGGCTATGTGGAGAGCTCCTCAGGGCACTGGCCGTGGGACCAGTGCCATCTACAAGCCCATGGGGCCTGACGTCAATGTATCCTCACCAGACGCAGGAATTCTGCCCCTGAATGTGCCCTCAAACCTGGACCTGAGCCCCAGCAACAAGACCAAGTAAAACAACTTAGCTAATGAGATCCAGAAGACAAACAGAAAAAGAACACAAGAAATAGAATAGAAAATTAGAAGAGCCCTAAAGCTATAAAAGTTCATGCACATGGTATTTTTTAAGTTAAAAAACTATATTTTAATTCATGGATGAAAGAACCAGCAGGATAGTTAAGCTGCTTTTAAAAAGTATAGGAGAGCAGTATTACAGTTACTGAAGGAAACAGTAATAAAATATGATTGTTAAATTACATACAAAACTGGTAAATGCCCTACAGGCAATAAAACTGTAGCCTCTTGGTTCTAATTTTCTTTATTTGTATTTCTATAGGCAAAATTCATTTGAATCGTTATCAGAAAGAATCATATATAGGACTCTCAGTTTCCTATAAGTTAGCATCTACTCTGACTGAGTTTTAAGTGCTCTTATCAATAGTAGATAATAAGTCAAAACTAAAGTGGATACTCTAGGAGTATTTGATAATCCTTGGTGAGCATGCTAAACACTGATTTAATATGATATTAAAAAGGGATGTGGGAGAGAGGATTAAAGATGGCCACGTGAGAGGAGAGATAGAGTCTTCCTCCTAAAACTAGATACAATTAGAAAATATAGTTGGTGCAATGAATCCTGAGAGAGCAACAGGAAAGAGGACAGCGCCAGACTGCATACACCTGGAGAAAAGAGCAGACCTCACTGAATGCAGTAATGTGCCAAAGCTGTGGCTCGGCGGGACCCAAGCCGTTCCCCCACCCCAGCTCACCAGCAGGAGAAAGAGAAATGGAGCAGGGAGTGGGTGGAAGCCTGGGACTACTGAACACCTAGCTCCGGAGATCTGTTCTGGGAGCACAAACCTACATTTCATGGTGCTTTCATCATACTCTTCTTATTATGGGGTTGGAAAGCTGGGACAGGTGGAGGTCCAGGGGAGACTGGGATTCTGGCCGCTTGTGGAAAGGAGGATCCATATCCAGCTGCTCTGAGAAAAAAGCTTATACCTGTGTGCTTGGCCCACTGGTTCAGGCAGTGAAGATAGGCACAACAGCCGTGAAGAGGGGAACAGCTCTTTCCTCCCCTCAGGCACCAATACCGCTCCCCTGCAACTCCCAACATTGCTTCAGGGGCTAAGCAGCTCCAGAATAGAGCTTCTGGACACTAGAGGGCACCAAAAACAAATTGAAACACAAAAGAAACCTGGTCCAGAGTAAAATTATTAATACAACCCCCAAGAAAGATTTAAATGATATGGACCTCGTGACTCTTCCTGAAAGGGAGTTCAAAATAAAAATCATCAACATGCTAATGGAGGTACGGAAAGACATCGAAGAACTCAGGAATGAATTCAGGTCAGAGATCCAATTGTTGAACAGCACGAAGGAGAGTATTAAAAGCAGGTTGGATATAGTGGAGGAGATGATAAATGAACTAGAAACTAGAGAAGAGGAATACAAAGAAGCTGAGGCACAGAGGGAAAAAAAGGATCTCTAAGAATGAAAGAATATTGAGAGAACTGTGTGACCAATCCAAATGGAACAATATTCGCATTATAGGGATACCAGAAAAAGAAAAGAGAGAGAAAGGGATAGAAAGTGTCTTTGAGGAGGTAGTTGCTGAAAACTTCCCCAACCTGGGGAAGGAGATAGTCTCTCAGACCATGGAGATCCACAGATCTCCCAACACAAGGGACTCAAGGAAGACAACACCAAAACACATAGTAATTAAAATGGAAAAGATCAAGGATAAGGACAGACTGTAAAAAGCAGCCAGAGACAGAAATCAGATCACATACAAAGGAAAGCCAATCAGGCTAACATCAGACTTCTCAGCAGAAACCTTACAGGCCAGAAGGGAGTGGCATGATGTGTTCAATGTAATGAAGCAGAAGGGCCTGGAACCAAGATTACTTTATCCACCCAGATTATCATTTAAATTTGAAGGGGAGATTAAACAATTTCCAGATAAGCAAAAACAGAGAATTTGCCTCCCACAAACCATCTATACAGTATATTTTGGAGGGACTGCTATAGAGGGAAGTGTTCCTAAGGTTGAACAGCTGTCACCAGAGGTAATAAAACCACAGCAAAGACAGTAGAACAGCTAATTACTAAGCAAATGCAAAATTAAATTAACTATCCCCAAAGTCAATCAAGGGATAGACAAAAAGTACAGAATATGATACCTAATATATAAAGAATGGACAAGGAATTGAACGGAGAAACAGAAAAGAACATTTAGATTGTGTTTGTAACAGCATTCTAAGTGAGTTAAGTTAGACTCTTAGATAGTAAGGAAATTAACATTGAACCTTTGGTAACCACAAATCTAAAACCTGCAATGACAATAAGTACATACCTATCAATAATCACCCTAAATGTAAATGGACTGAATGCACCAATCAAAAGACATAGAGTCAATGAATGGATAAAAAAACAAGACCCATCTATATGCTGTTTACAAGAGACTCACCTCAAACCCAAAGACATGCACAGACTAAAAGTCAAGG